GAATAAGTCGCGGAGATCTTGAATGTGCTTCTTTGCAGATTCGTCCAGGTCACTTATCGGCCTACTTTGGTTTTCCACCTGTTTCTTGATGCCCACCTCTTGCTTCTTGCCTTCAGACAGTGCTGTCAGCTCGCCATATTTGGTCTCTAACATCTCTCTTGCCACACTCTCCAACTCTTTTCTTTCCTTTTCAGATGATTCCAAGGATTCTCTCAACCTCTGGATCTCTTCCAGGTGGCACTGCTGAACCCTTTCCATCTCTATACGTTCTTCCTCCCACTCTTCTACGGTGTCGTCGGCTTCATCATACGCCTCCTCCACCCAGACATCACTTTGCAAAGTATTCAGTCTAATCTCGGCTTTGAGTTTTGCAACGTACTCCTCCATCCCAGAGTTTTTCATGAGGAGATTTGCACTATACTCCTCTAACTCTTTCTGAGTCTTGGCCAGCTGCTGTTGCTCCTTCTCGTTCTTTTCTGTCAGATCGCGGATCACTTTGTCTTTCAGCCCGAGCTGCTTCTTCAGCTCTTGGATGGTTTGATCTGAGGTTCTCTTGGCGTCATTCACAGCCTCTTCCACCTCCTGAGCCTTGACTTCATTCATGGACTTATTTCGCTCCACAAGAAGTCTTGTTGTAGCGCGTACGTTTTTCAGCTGACTTTCCTGATCTAGGATTCTGGTCTTGAGGTCCTTATTCTCGGCTTTGACTTTGGAGTTTTCTTCCTCCGTCGCAGCAATGACAGAGTTTTTCATGAGGACATTTGCGCTACACTGCTCTAACTCTTTCTGTGTCTTGGCCAGCTGCTGCTTCTCCTTCTCGTTGTTCTCTGTCAGATTGTGGATTGCTTTATCTTTCTGCTCAAGCTGCTGCATCAGCTCTTGGATGGTGTGTTCTGACGTGCTCTTGGCCTTCTTCAGAGCCTCCTCACACACCACCGTCAGAGCCTGGACATCATCCATGTACTTATTCTGGGCCGCAAAAAGTCTTTTCTCTGATGCAGCGTTTACATTTCTCAGCTGACTTTCCTGATTCAGAATGTTAGTCTTAAGCTCTCTATTTTCGGCTTTGACTTTCGTGTTTTCTGCCTCCATTGCAGCAATAACCGAGTTTTTCATTTGGACCTTTGCGCTACACTGCTCTAACTCTTTCTGCGTCTTGGCCTGCTGCTGTTTCTCCTTCTTTTTGTCTTCTGTCAGATTGCTGATCATTTTATTTTTCAGCTCGAGCTGATTCCTCAGATCTTGGATGGTGTGATCTGTGGTCATCTCGGCCTCCTCCATCGCAGCAATAACCGAGTTTTTCATGAGGACATTTGCATTATATTCCTCCAACTCTTTCTTGGTCTTGGCCAATGTTGCCTTAAACTGAGAAGCTTCTGTTCCCAGTTTTGTTTTTTGCTCCTCCATCTGCGTCTTCAGCCTGTCTATGTAGCTGTTAGCGTCCTGTATCTGAGCGTTCAACAGGTCCATCGCCTCCTTGTTTCTGTCGAACATTGCCTGTTTCTCGTCTTCGTGTTTGGTGACGATCGACATATACCGGATGGTGTCTTCAGCATTTTCTTCTTTCAAGGCCTGGATCTCCTCCTGAGCCTTCTGCAATTTCCCTGTAGTATCACTCAGAGCCTCTTGGAGATCCGTTTTCTCCTGGACAGTATCATCCAGTTGGCGTTGGGCAGACGTGGATCTTTCTGAAGCCTGCAGTAGAGCCGTCTCTAAGGCAGACCTCTCTGTCTTGAGATGGATCACCTGCTGCTGCTGTTGGTGACTCTCTTCCTGATGAGTCTTCTCCAACTTGCTCCACTGTTTCATCTCTCTCTTCATATCCTCCTTCAGATGCTGGTGTTGTCCCTCCAACATCATGAGGTAGGATTCAAGCTCTTCTATCAGCTTGTCCTTCTTTGATTTTCTTATAAAGCACAACATTTTGCTCTCTTGTGTTTCTTGCGGTAAATTTGCTCCGTTTTCTCCTGAAGTCAGAAATATGGGTCCTGTTTGGGGCTCTCTCCACACACAGACACTTGTACTGGGGACTTTGGAACTTTGATGATGTCACAAAGACGTTGCCGTGACGATGGATCATTCCTTTGATTCTGGAATGCGGCAGGTTCAGTTACCATGGCGATTTTGGAACTCCTCATTGAAAATACTAGAAATTAATTATAAAAAAGGATTATTATTCCGGTAATTTCTTAAACAATGTTAATTTTTCAAGACCCGATCATGATCCTTATCTTTACTTAAAATAAAATGTGCAGTGGACAAGCTCCCATGATGCTTTGCGCCAAATATGTGTGTGTGGCTCTGATGCACGTGCACAGAGGGGCTCGTCCTCGCTCTGACCAATCAGAGCTGCTGATCAGAGCGGAGCTAGACCGGAGTCAGAGCGGGAGCCAAATGAGAAGAATTTGTGGCAGCAAAGTGTGGAGTTAAAGAAAACTGAAGGATTTAAGAAGAAAAAAAGTTCAGGTTGACATTGGACACAAAAATTCCCACAAAATACGACCTTTATGAACGCTGTAGGTTCTCTGTCAGCTGAGGTCGAGCGGTTTTGGTTTACATTGAGTTCTATGGGGAACATTTCTGAGTATCCCACGTGAATTTAGTCTGGTTTAGTCTGCAGTACCGCGAGAATCCCCTGAACACGTGGGTCCTTCAGCTCCAAGCAAGCAAATGGTAATAATAATTATAATATATTATTTAAAAAAATATTTACCTATAATATTGTTTTGGCCTACAGATAAGGCCCCAAGGGTTTGCCACTGTATATGACCAATATAAATATAATGACTCAATATAATATGAACACTTGAATCTCATCTCTACTTGATACCTCTTTTGTTTTCTTTCTTGCTGCAGGTTACACTGTGGTTTGGGACTTTGCTGTGGCATTTTTCTACTCATTTTGGAAGTGCGCCGCATTCACATCACGGTGTTATGTTGACGGCCATAAACTAAACACACAGAGGCCTAAACACAGAGAGCCCAGAGCAAACAGGACAGTGGACTGAGCCATCACTGCTCCCAGACGCTGCTTTTTATCTGTGTTCAGGGAAACCAGTCCTCACCAAGGATATGATGAGGGTAAGTCACCAATGTATATCTGTGACATGGTAGTGCCATATGAACCCAGGACTGAGGAGCACAGGGACTGGCCTCCTGCTGGGACTCTGAGGAGCACAGGGACTGGCCTCCTGCTGGTCCCAGAGTCAGAGAGGCAACGTTTCATATTCATGCGGCTAAAATCTGGAACTGTCTTCTTGAAAATGTGAGACAGGCCTCTTCTCTGACAATGTTCAAATAAACATTTCTGTTTATTTGAACAACTGAAAGATTTTATCCTCACTTTTTTAATGTACTGTGATTTTTTATGATTTTGTATTGTCCTTTTCTTGTCTTGTTCAGCACTTTGAGTTGCTTCGTGTATGAACTGTGCTATACAAATAAACTTGTGTTGCCAGGTTGGATGCTTTGGTGGATATGGAAACAGTTCTCAGTTGCCCGCAGAAACACTTAAAGCCAAAACATTGTTCAAAAGAGTGACTAATCTGTGATGAGTGCAGATACTTGTCTGACAGCGCCCTCTGCTGCACGACTGTAGAATAACACTGACACTGAAGCAATCCATGAAACCACACCGCAAAAAATAATAAAACATGAGCTAATAATGGCTTGAATCGAGTGTTTTTATCTCAATCTGACACATTCTGACTGTGATAAAACCAGATTCTCCAATGGGACAAAGCCAATTAGTCTTATTTACAGAACTGTTGCTTTCTTTTCTCATTCCAAGAGAGACATTTATTGTATCTTTTTAAGATATTTTTGCTCAGACCCATTGACAAATCTTGTTTTATGGCAGTCATATTTTGGTCAAATTAAGAAACATTTTTTCAGGCGACTGTAGCTCAGTTGATAGAGCACTGGCTTTTAGGCCTGAACGTCGTGGAATGAATGAATGAGAAACATTTGCCAAATTTTAGCATTTTTTCCATCACCTTTTGCCCTGCACCTTTACAGTTATTGTAATGCAACCATGAATATAGTCTTTGTTAAATTACAATACTACACAGATATGGATTATTCTTGCAGTGTAAGTTCATTTCATTTCAGATCCATCAGAGTTATTGGTCATTCTGTTTGTCACCTGCAGGGGGCAGACCTGTGCTCCAGGCCCAGAGGAGCATTCACCATCACGTCTGACACATAGTCCTCACACAGTCCTGGCCCTTCATCATTATCTCTCTGTCATTCAAACGCGTCCAGTGGGGACCAGTAGGAACCAGTGGGAACCAGTGAGAACCATAAGGGACCAGTGGGGACCAGTAGGAAACAGTGAGGACCAATGGGGACCAGTGGGGACCAGTGAAGACCAGTAAAGAACAGTGAGAACCAGTGGGGAACAAATGAGAACCAGTGGGGACCAGTGAGAACCAGTGGGGAGAAGTGGGAACCAATGAGAACCAGTGAGAACCAGGGGGGACCAGTGTGAACCAGTGAGGACCAGAGGGGACCAGTGGAGACCAGTGAAAACCAGAGGGGACCAGTAAGAACCAGTGGGGACCAGTAGGAACCAGTGGGAACTAGTGAGGATCAGTGGGGGTTCCAGCTCAATAAAGTCCATGAGCACGTGCACTGACATGCTGCAATCTCACTCTGGGCCGGTGGGGGTGTACCCGGAGAGAGAATTACCCAATGCTTTTGTATGGTGTCATCTTACCTCTCAAAAACCTTGTTACAGGATGGTCCAAAATTTGGCTCTTGGCTCAAAGCTACGTTCCAGATGTGTGTCAATGCTGAGGGGAGTAGTTTTTGGACCAGTCTAGTTTAGCTGCTATGGACTTTAGAATGCACAAATGTGTTTTTTTCACATTTTCCAGCCCCGCAGCCATTTTGAAAAGCCCACAGAAGGCGAAAGTCGTGCCACATTAGTTTTAACGCCGGAGATAGGCGTGACTACCTCCGTTAATATTGACAGTCTCTGGTGAGAAGAAGACACTCACCTGGTACGATCTCGAACAGGTGTCGGGGTTCGTCTGCGTTGGCCGTCAGCTCGTTCACAGAGCAGCCGTGGAGAGGTATGAGTCCCTGAGATCAAAGACATTCATCTGTTAATACACATTATTCATTAATTATATCTTCTCCACCATATACGTCACCTTTGTTTAAATAATAAAATGAGTAAGTAAGGGATAACGTATATTACGCAGGTCATTATCAAAAAATTTTTACCGACAGGGCTTCCGCCCTGAAGGTACTTATTCTTAGTTTATTTGAAATAAGAAAGAAAATAAAACAGTTCCCAAAGGCTCTCCCATGGCTATGCTAGCAACAGTTAGGCTATCAACTTCCAAACTAGAACTTTCTGGAACTGCATGAAAACTGGACAAAGAATTCTGAACGTCAGCAGTGAGTGACCCAAACATAAACTTAACCTAAATCCATAATTCGATCCTCTGCAAATGTGTCCGAAAATGTGCCGGTATCTACAGTACTTCCGGGTTTTTCGGGATCGCCTTTTCTCGCATTACATCAGTGTTTTTGTCATGAAAACGTAAACGGAAAATTCTGAAAACTTCCGTGCACTTGTATTAAGAATGTATATGTATAATGTACTCTCCGATTATAATTTATTTGCGTTGACTGATTGGCATTTGGGTTTATTGAGCGTGGCTAGCTCCGGAGTGGCCAGAACTACTTCCGGGTTTTTCATGATCGCTTTTTGACGCAGATAAATAGTATTTTTGTCATGAAGACAAGACCAGTAAATTCTGAAAATCTCTGTGCACGTGTGAGAAGAATGTATATGTATGAATATTCTCCGATTAACATTTAAGTGTGTTGATTGATTGGTATTTGTGTTTATTGAGCGTGGCTAGCTCCGGAGTGGCCGGAACTACTTGCGGAGTTATCCACGCATCTGAAAGACAAGCAGAGAGTGTGTTGCCAAAGGGCAGCGGTCATTATTGTTGATTCAAATCAATGGAGCGTTCTACTGCTGCTGTGAGGAGCCGTGTAATAAATGATAATAATGTATTGTCAAACCTTCACTCTACACACGATGGTAGCCACAGTCGCCTGGGGCAGACTGACATGAGACACAGACACACACCAGATGCATATACAGTATATAAGTGTCTATTTTACAGTCTCACTTGCTCCATTGAGGCACCTGATAGTCCAGTGGTCTCCCATCCAAGTAGTAACCAGGCCCTGCTGCGATCATCTGACATTTTATTATGGAGTTATTTTATGAAACTAGTTTGGGAGAGGAATTTCTCAAACAGATCTTGTCAATGTGCTGCATTTATGAATGGAAAACATATTCATTTTGATTAGATACCAACATTTGACTCCCATGATATATTCATTTTGATTAGATACCAACATTTGACTCCCATGATATATTCATTTTGATTAGATACCAACATTTGACTTGACACGATATATAAAGCTCAACTCATATATTTTTGAGAATTTCACTCTGAACCAGAGCAGAGAGAATGGTCCGAACCAAGCAAACATCACCCAGTGTCACGTGATGAAGTTAATGAAGACCCAAAATTGCAGAAATGCCAAAAATAAGGGTTTAATGATAAAAAAGTCCAGATGAAACCAACTCAAAATCCAAAACTTAAACAGGACCAGGAACAGGACGGAAACAGACAGAGACATGAACAAGACAAGACAGGACGTTGACAAGACAATGGACTAGCAACAAGGGGAGAGAAGCACAGGGTACATATAGACACACAGAGACACAGGTGAAACACATCAGGGCGGGGCAGACAATCAAGACAGGGGCAAACGGGACAGGAAGTACAACTAAAACCAAAACCACAGAGAACAAAGTCAAAATAAAACAAAAATACTAAAATAAAACCCACACCATGACACCCAGAGCAGGCAGCTCATGACCAGCGGCTGCACCACCTGCTGCTGGGACCTAAAGTGTGTTGTTTATTGTATTATTTATTTATTTAATTATGTATTTATGTTTTTGTATGAACAGATGTGTTTGTGCTGCTGGTGGAACATCATTGGTGTTTAATCTGCCTTTAAAATACATCCTATTTATGGTAACTAGTCTCAAGTATATTTAATAAAAATAGCTATCCATCTATCTATCTATCTCGATCTATCTATCTATATCTGTCTGTCTATCTCTTATCTTTCTATCTGTCTGTCTCTCGGTCTCTCTCTCTCTCTCTGGGTTTCTATCGGTTGGTCTCTCTCTCTGTCTCTCTCTCTCTCGGTTTCTATCGGTTGGTCTCACTCTCTCGGTTTCTATCGGTTGGTCTCTCTCTGTCTCTCTCTCTCTCGGTTTCTATCGGTTGGTCTCTCTCTCTGTCTCTCTCGGTTTCTATCGGTTGGTCTCTCTCTCTCTCGGTTTCTATCGGTTTCTATCGGTTGGTCTCTCTCTCTCTCGGTTTCTATCGGTTGGTCTCTCTCTCTCTCTCGGTTTCTATCGGTTGGTCTCTCTCTCTCGGTTTCTATCGGTTGGTCTCTCTATCTCTCTCTCTTGGTCTCGGTCTCGCTCTCTCTCTCTCTCTCTCTATCTCAGAGTATTGCCCTAGAACACCTACGTATATTTAGCACAATAAACAGACACATTAAGGGTCCTCTCCTCCATCACAGTCAGTTTAACCAAATACATTTTCCAGATCAATACCCATTTGATCCTCAGAGCTGGGGCCAGGCCGGATCTGAGGCCAAGCTGGATCTGCGGCCAGGCCGGATCCGGGGCCAGTCCAGATCTGGGGCCGTGCCAGAGCCGCTGGTCGGACCCCTGTTAAACAGCACTCTGGCATCTTCCATCAAACGGCCGGAGGAGCCTGCCAAATCCTACTGACCTGAGGGCCCGGCCGTAGCCAGCATTAGTCGCCATGGAAACAAATGGAGGGGCGAGATGGGAAAGGAGCACAGGGCAGGAGAAGTCCCGGGGGATGGACAAACAGGAACAGGAGTGGCTGAGCTCAGTGGAATGAGTGGAATAATACACGTATCTCACATGTATCAAACATGTGTCTTTGATGGTTATAGCTATAAATGTGTTTTTCTTCTTAATAATAATGTATATATCGTATTTTACAGAGACAGGTCATCAAAGCGCTTTACAATTGTTGAATGTTCAGATTGCACTGAGGTAATGGCACCTGAGCAGCAGTATGGTTGGCCCCAGGCTGCGAGTAAAACGCTCTAGTCTCTCTCTCTCGGTTCGCTCTCTATTCTCTCTCTTTCTCGGTTCTCTCTCTAGTCTCTCTATGGTCTCTTTCTATTCTCTCTATCTCTGTTCCCTCTTTTGTCTCTCTCTCTCTGGTCTCTCTCTAGTCTCTCTCTCTTGTCTCTCTCTAATCTCTCTCTGGTTTCTCTTTGGTCTTTCTCTGGTCTCTCTCTGATCTCTCTCTCTCTCTCTGTTCTCTCTCTAGTCTCTCTCTCTCTCTGGTCTCTCTCTAGTCTCTCTCTCTGGTCTCTCTCTAGTCTCTCTCTAGTCTCTCTCTCTTTGGTCTCTAGTCTCTCTCTCTCTGGTCTCTCTCTAGTCTCTCTCTCTGGTCTCTCTCTATCTCTGTTCTCTCTCTAGCCTCTCTCTCTGATCTCAGGACACTCACATTATAAACATTTACGGACTTTGATCATCTGTCCCTTTATGGACCTATGGCTCTATGTGCTTTTTCTTGTATTTGTACCGTTTGATTCTCTGATCTGTGTCGGCGAATCGACAGCTTTGTAAAGTCCCCTGAGATAACAACTGTTGTGATAAGACCAAAAAAATGTCCCGCTGCCGCACTGGACTCCTCCCCCTACACACCTGCGCTCATCACTTCATGGCTGCATTCAATCATAGCCTCTCAGTTCTCTGCAGCTCAAGCTTCTGTTCGAGCAGCAACCCACCTCCTCCCCATCACCGCCTTTTCAATGGAGTATCACGCCATGTCTTCGGCTCAGCTTCTTTGCTACCAGGTTCTAGGCCCCGGGGGGGTCGCAAGCTCATCATTTCTATTAAACTCCCTTCTGCATGACGTCAAGCTTATCAATAAATATAGCAAAACCCAATCTAAGTCTGTTGTGGTTTATTCATGCATCTTGACAGTAAATATTCTAATGCAATCTGTCTAAAGTCTGTTCTGATTGAATTTACGGCTCTGCATAAATAAATTGAATTGAATGTATTATCTAATCCATAACTATTTACCTTCTACTGGAACATCTACAAACACATGATGTAGCTTCGCATAGAGACGCTCGTATCAAGACATCATCCGTTCTCTGTGCACTCAATCTAGTATAGATCCTGCGGCGGTTTTATCTTTCCTTCCACCAATTATCACATCTTGGGTCTGGGAGGTGGTCATCCCTCTGTGGAAGTGCCCCCCATCCACCACCATGACCCCCCCTCCCAACCGTCCACCCCCCAACGCCCCTTCACCCCTCCACCCCCTCTCCCTCGCTTCAATTTCCCATCGATTAGAAGATGAGACGCAAAAAAAAAGGTCTGGATTGACACTTTCTGCACTCAGAAGGTTGTGTGTGTGTGTGTGTGTGTGTGTGTGCGTGTGTGCGTGTGTGCGTGTTGATGAATGATCAGCCATGTGTGTAATCTGAATGCACTGGGGGAGGCAGATCAATACAGGCTGAATACGCATTGGAGAGAATTGATAGAAAGCACAGTTTGTCAGAGTCTGCAGCCTTTTGATTGGCAGCTGTGTGTGTGTGTGTGTGTGTGTGGGTGTGTGTGTGTGTGTGGGTGTGTGTGTGTGCATGTATGTGTGTGTGTGTGTCTCTGCAGGTTCTTCCTTCCTGCTGCTGTCAGACTGTAAAATGAGAACTGCTGAGCCCGGACACGTGCCATTCGCCTGCTCTGACAGTCCACTAGTCAACCTGCTGCTATTCTTACTATTGTTTAATTTGGTTAAGTTTTCAAAGCACTATGTGAAAACCCAAAGAATGAATGATAATATTTTATGATATTTTTGAAGTATTCTTGATAGATACTTTACTGATCCCCGTAGAAAGAATGCAGGTTTCCAGTAGCAGCAGAAACACATCCATCCAAACACACAAAACAAATAGATACTTAATTCTAAAAGTAGCTAACAATAGTAATAAAATGCTACAGCAAAGAGGACTGTGATCTGTCTGTTCTGGAGGTTGTCTATGAATCCAGATTTTTTAAATGAGCTCTTAGAATAATCAATGACTCTTCTGGCCCCTGAAAAAGCCTTGTTCCAGCTTCTTCTCTCTGGCTAAAGATATGGTTCTCTGAGATGCAAGACTTCTGGATATGCTAACAGCTTCTTTCCACAAACTATTATCAACAGATCAATTTTATGATCTTGCCTTGCCTCTGTTTCCTGTTTTGCTTGTTTTATTTATGTACTTTTAACCTTATTCTATTCATGTACTGTACTTGTCTGGTGCCCACTGGGGACTTTTTCGCATTTATTCCAATGTGGTTTTACTGCAAATGGTAAATACACAAATCTGAATCGCTTCACAGTCACAGCAGCAGAGGTGGAGCAGCCGCTTGGTTCGAACCATATTCTCTGCTCTTGCACAGAGGGAAGATGCTGAATCCATTATTAGCATTTGAAAAAAAAAATGTATTCCTTTAATGGATTTACTTTTGATCTGCTTGTTCTGCCCGTGCAACCTCTCTGCTCTGGTGAACACTGCAAAACCATGAACACTGTACTGCAGCAACATTTACAGATAGAAAAAAGTAAGAAATGTATCAATTGTAAAACACAAAACAGCGAGAGAGAGACATAGGACTGGCTGCAGTTTCCAGTGCATTTAAAAGATGAGACACAAAAAAAGTATTGAGTTTTTGAAGTAGTGAGTTATGATATTGTTTTTGAATCCATTCTCAGGACCACGGTGAATGTGTGACCAAAGGGAGCGATTTGGATCTTTTATAACACTTTTGAAGCTGTTTTGGATAAACCTCAGCGTGTCATTCTAACAACACAGAAGTCTGTTTTGGTCTGAAGCTGTCAGTGCCGTGGCAGACTCTGAGAGGAGCGTCTGTTTGGACAAAGGCCTCACGGACAATCTTTGGTCGTTTTAATGTCAATAAAACATGTTTTCTGCTGGACACAGACCTCTGTTTGTCCAGTGTGTGTGTGTGGGAGGATCTTTCCTGTGTGTGTGTGTGTGTGTGTGTGGGAGGATCTTTCGTGTGTGTGTATGTGGGAGGTTCTTTGGTGTGTGTGTGTGTTTGTGTGGGAGGTTCTTTGGTGTGTGTGTGTGTGTGTATGTGGGAGGTTCTTTGGTGTGTGTGGGAGGTTCTTTGCTGTGTGAGTGTATGTGTGCTGTGTGTGTGTGTATATTGGGAGGTTCTTTGGTGTGTGTGTGCGTGGGAGATTCCTTGGTGTGTGTGTATGTGTGTGTGTATTTTGGGAGGTTCTTTGCTGTGTGTGCATGTGTGTGTGACTGTGTGTGTAGGAGGTTCTTTGCTGTGAGTGTGTTTGTGTTGTGAGGTTCTTTTCTGTGTGTGTGTGTGTGTGTGTGTGTGTGTGTGTGTGTGTGTGTGTGCGTGTATGTGTGTTTGTGTTGGGAGGTTCTTTGCTGTGTGTGTGGGAGGTTCTTTGGTGTGCGTGTGTATTTTGGGAGGTTCTTTGTTGTGTATGTGTGTGTGTGGGGGAGGTTCTTTTCTTTGTGTAATAAACGAACACACAAAGAATCAATTCAAGTGTTGGGAAAGAATTCAAAGACACGATTATTACTCCGCTCCAAGGGCCACGTCGTGTTTGAGGGTGTGATGGATGAGGGTGGGTGGGGGTGGATGAGGGTGGGGTTAATTGGGTGTTGGTAGGTGGGGCTGGGTGGTCCGGGCCAGATCTTGTTCCCCTCCCCCTTCCTTTTGTTGTGGGATTACATCATGGCCTCATGTTACTGCTCTGCCGGGGGCCATGCTAATGCGTTTGGATGACAGCGCTCAGAGGAAGCCATTGATTCCACATAATGTCAATGTAATAAGTTACTAATGCAGCGTGTCATACTATTATTCAGACTAATGCATGATGGGATCGGTGTCATTCTGCTGAGTCATCGTCATCAAAAGGTTATTTACAGCAATAAGAAGCAGACAGACTGGATTCTCTCAAAGGTCATGTTGGAGCTCTGCCTGTGGTCAACCTTTCTTTCTAATGTATAATACCAACAGTATTACACTCTCTACCATTGTTTACATTGACCTTTGGGCCTGAAGGTCGTGGGTTTGAGCCTACCACGAAAACCTACTTCACGACTCCCACTGATAACTGCTGTCGTTGTGTCCTTCGGTAAGACACTTAACCCCACTTTGCCTGAAGCCCCCACTGTAAGATCTCAGCTCCTGTGGACTCACCACCTGCAGGAGGATCAGTGAGGGGCTGGTGCTCTGTGTACTGGGTGTAGCTCTGACTGCCACCCCCTGACCCAGAAAAAATGGATGGATGGAAAATCTATTTGGATTTGTCATTTAGTTAGTTGGTAAGTATATATTTCAAATGTATATTTTTCATTTAGCATAACATAAAACAAACAAGATACAGACACAATTTGGAAAATACAGATTGAAAAGGGGTTGGACGAAGCAGAAGCTTATTGGGCCCCAACCCCTCTGCTCCGACCATAACACAAAAACACACAGACACACTCCCTCATCCTCCCTCACCATCATCAGGTGCCCTTTGTAGTTTGCACCTGTGCCCAGCTTTTACGGCGGCAGTAGAGCGCTCCATTGACTCCATAATCGTTCTATCGGTCATTATTTTCTGATAACAGACTCTCAAACCGATAATGGCCGCTGCCCTTTGGCAACGCACACTCTGCTTGTAATTCACGTGTGTCAGATCACTCTGCTGTGGACTGGCCACTTCGTCTACGGGCTTTCAGCGACACAGCGCCTGTTCTGCCTCTAAGAAAAAAACCGAGGGAATCGCTCCTGATGTTAACGGGAGTCTGACTTTCACCGTACTCAGAGACAAACCACCTCCTGATCTCCAACTGCACCTTTGACGGGAACCTCCAGTTTAATATAAATAAGTAGCTAGCCTAGCCATTACTCGCCTAGCCATGCTATGTGGCCACGCATAGATCCACGGTGTATCTCCACTCAGTAAACACAAATAACAATACATCAACACATTTAAATGTTAATGTTTATCCACATTCATGCACGGAGGTTTTCAGAATGACCTGTTAACAGCAGCTAACATGTTTTTATCTTTCATGAGACTCGTGACTACAAATGAAAAATAGCTGCTTGGATAATTCTGGCATATTAACAGAAATGATAATAAATAAATAAATAAACAAAAATACTGTTTCAAAGCCATAAATGACGATCGCGGTAAACCTGGAAGTAACCATCAACATTTATAATAACATTCAGGACAAACTTATTTCAAAATAAGTGGGATGTTTAGAACGCAGAACATTATCGGAAAATAAGTACAGTCTCCAGGGCGGATCAGACCGGTTCACCCTCTCGTTACTTCGATAACATCCTGTGTTCTATACAGTATTACTTATTATTATTACTTATTATTATCAGTATTATTATAAGGAATGGTGTTCTCACTTGAGGTTTCGTCTCCTCCTCGTCCTTGAAGAAGTAGAGGTGCTCCGAGCGCAGGACAAACCACCGCAGCTGCCAGTTCTTCATGATGCTGCGCTGCTTCTTGAGCCAGCCGGCCTTGAGCACGCCGTCCTGGAGGCCCGGAGAGCCAGGGCGGCACGGGCTGCGAGACACCTCCCCCATCACCATGCTCTTGGACCTGGCTGAGAGAGAAACCATCATGTGACACTCCCATGAGAGACTGGACTTTCATCTGCTCTGATTATCTAGTCACAATTCATTCATTCACTTGTATCCACTTTATTAGTCCATTTCTGGGTGGGTCAGGGGGGGCTTCAGGCAAAGTGGGGTTAATGGTGCGTTCAGACCAAACGCGATTTCTGCGGCCAAAGCGGCGGGTCTACATTGACACAACATGGGGGACGCGCGCCAAGGAGCGGCGAGAGATCACGCGGCGCGATTCGCGCGGCCAGAGCGGCGCGAATTCGAGCGTTTCGCGCGATTCGCGCGGCGTGTTTTGAGATGTCAAGCGTTTTGACGCGCGTTTCGCGCGATTCGTGCCTCCAACGCGGCCGCCGCTAGAGTTGAACAATGTTGAACTTTTTGGGAGAATTCGCGTGTGCCGACCAATCAGGAGCTTTCTCCTCCAGTGACGTAGTGACGCATTTCACTACCGGAAAAACACTGGTAGATGACAGCTATGGAGGACACGTCAATTGCTCAGGTCGGTGCTCATTCTGAGCTATATAACACTGCGGACCACAGCTACCGGGACCGAAATAAAAAGGAGCTTGCTTGGAGGAGGGTTAGCGAGGTGGTTGGTGTCTCGGGTAAGTTATTTTAACTTTTCAATGTTGTAAATATTTCCCCGCGAAAAAAACTACTACTTTCCTGCTTACGAGTTGATGTGTTTATTCAGTGGAAGTTTGCAAAAAGCGGTGGAAGAATCTGAGGGACACATATGAGGTGCTGAAGGTCGGTGTCATGCAGCAAACGGAGACCTCGAACAGTTGGAAAAAATACATTTCTTTCCTTTCTATTACCCACATTTTGCTGACTTTTACATTTATATTGCTTTCTGTGTATGCATTTCTTTTAATGCTTTCTTAACATCATGGCCAGGTGAAAATAGGCATTGGCTATTTTCAAACCAGGATAGATCTTGATCATGTGTTGTGTTAAATTTCACTTTTCCCTTTTATATGAACAAATCATTTAAATGTACATAATAATGTACATTATTATGTACATATAAATGTCATAAGCGCAATGTACACATGATATGAAATAATTGTATTTCTTGTTTTCTTCTGGCACAGACACTGCCACCACCACACAAGGTGAGACATCTTGGCCTGAGCTGCCTGAGCTGCTGCTGCTGCTGCTGCTGCTTCCTCAGCCGGTTCTTCTTCTGTGAGGGCTGGACCTTCCCCTGCTTCTGCACCTACAGGTGTGGCTTTTTTTAATCATTGTTTTATTTTTATTCTTATTACAGGACTGTTCATATAAACAAAATGTTACTGCATAATATGCCAAAATTACCCAAGGGCTGTTACATCAGTGTAGACGACAAATTTACAGAGAAACAACAAGATGTCAAGGCACTACAGGTGGAAAGAAGCTTTGGTCTGATACAACACATCTTCCCTCTTTCTTTGATAAAAACATACTACTGAAATACCTTATGCTATAAAAGTACTGAACAAATACATGCAATGGTTGCCACAAGATGGCAGCTATCCTGTTTAATGCAGACAATAGAGTATTACTTTTTTACAGCCAATTTCAAATTTCATTGCGAAATACACTTCAGAGATATTAGTTTGTAACTGTAATATCAAGTAATTTCATTGATAACTGCAATGTTCAAGTTAATTGTAACAAACACACAACTTAAAAGTGTTTTACATGTGTTTAACTATGTCTACACACTCTGGCTTTAATACAGATATTATTTGCTCTCTTCATTTTGCTTTTTTGAAATACATGTTCCACTTTTTAACACTGTGATTGCCCTGTGTTCTTTGTTGGCGGCTCTACGGACGTGGGCCTCTTCCGAGCCCTCTTCCTTGGTGGGCCTTCAGAGTGGGAGCGGGAGCTGCTGGAGACTCTACGGACCAAAGCAGCCGGACCGCCCGACTACTCAGAAGAACATCAGTTCCTGCTCTCTCTCTTTCCTCTCCTGCAAAGGGTGGCACCAGAGTCAAAAGAATTTGTGAAATTCAAAATGTACCAACTTTTATATGAAAGCAGCACCGTTCTGCTTAATTTGGAACCATTGGCCAGTACAGTTTTTTTTACCTAAGGTGACACCTTTTGCAGGGGAGGAAACAGACATGTGTCCCTTTCCTCTTCCACCGCACCTCCTCCAAGCAAGCTCCTTTTCATTTGTTTATATGTACATTTCATTTATTTTTCATTGTTTGTTCCTTTTTTTATAAAGAAAATATTTTTCAAACCTCATGTGTTCTACTTCAAGCCAACCATTACTACCTTTCATATAATATTGACAGAAAATGCTATTCTATATTTGTACATTTACTTTTATAAGAGCTGACTGGGTTTTATAGAAGATGGAATAACAAACACTTAAAGAGCGATACAGTAGTTGACAGTATTTTTTATTCATTTCACCTTTTACTGTTTTAACAACCTTGTAATTATGGAAAAGCTTGAATGTGCATATGATTAACCTGAAGTTGGAGTGGAGTCGCAGTGGAGTCTGGCAGTCATTACCTAGAAACAGAAGGTATACAGGTGAATAGAATAGTGCAAATCAATATGGGTTTGGACTATGGCCAGATGTGGGTCAGTCTTGTGGTGGACATGACTACTCTGTGGGCTGCCACGGCAGTGCTCCCTCCTCACTGAAGTGGGCCATGAACACTTTCCTTATGTCCACTGCTGGCTTCCAGGCGGCCATCCGCTGCACGCCTGGAAGTGGTTCTTCACCGGCAGCAGCTCCCCTCGGTGCAGGAACCTGCCCATCTCCAGCCATCCTCATGGCTGGAGATGGGCAGGGCGCATTAAATTGCAGCGCAGTGAAAAGGCCTCATCTGCCACGAACACATGGGGCTGGGGTCCTCTGTGGTCAGCTCCAGGTATGCACTGGTCAGGAGGCAGGTCGAGTGTGCCCTCGCGCAGAGCCTCACCAAAGGCAGAGTTGGACACGATGCCTCCATCGCTGGATCTGCCGTACCCTCCCACATCAATCACCCTGAACCTGTACTGGGCATCCACTACAGCCAGGAGCACAAGGGAATGGTGCCCCTTATAATTAAAAAACATGGACCCAGAGTTGGGGGGTGCCTTCACAGCCACATGCTTCCCATCAATGGCCCCACAGCACAGAGGGAAGTTCCATCGGACCTCCACTCCTCTGCTCCAGGCACAGCCATGAACTCCTCCACGAGGCAGTCCCAGATGGCTGCCACCACATCTGGGATGAGCATGGAGACGGTGGATATGCCCGCTCTGAAGCTCCCCGCAATGGTCCTGTAGGAGTCCCCAGTGGCAAGAAACCTGCAATTACAAAATGATATGAACATATTTATCACAATTACATTCATAAAAATCACGTGACAAAACTTGTGTAGCATAAAATACGTTAAACTAGTAGACAGTAAACATCATAGACAGTAATCATAGACACCATATTGTTGCATAATACTGTTTTCTGAGCAATTACATTGTGGATTGTGATTGAAAAATGACACACTTTGTAAGTATTTATGAATTCTGAATGGGGTAAAAAACACTAACCGCAGACAGATGGACAGGCGCTCTTCAGCTGGAATAGAGCGCCTGTAGTTGGTGTCCTGGTAGGAGACCCTAGCGCCAATGCGGGTCAGTAGGTCGTCAAACTGGGCCAGGGAGAGACGAAAGTACCGCTGAAAGCGACCCTCATCCGAGCGCAGCTCCCGGAGCAAATGGTGAAACTCACCAAACTCCAACCGTCTACGGACTATCTGATGAATCCAGACACGTCGTCGATTCGCCCTTTGACGACGTGTCTGGCTTTATTTATCAGATAAAGCAACTCCTTCGCTGACATCCATTTTGGGAAGCTACAGGCAAAAGAGACAAGCCCCGCCCCTAGACGCTCTCAACGCTCTGTGACAGCGGCTGCCCTCTAGTGTCCTGGCCGCGCGGCCAAGTTTCTCTGTGACAGCGGCTGCCACAATTTGTCACAAGCGGCTCAAGCCGCGCGATAGACGCGATTTGGCCGCAGAAATCGCGTTTGGTCTGAACGCACCATAAGTGTCTTGCTCAGGGACATAAGGATGTGAGGAGGGATGATATGTGTCGAGGGGGATCGAACCCATGCCCATTAGGCCTCAAAGATTAAATACATTTCTTTTGGTACAGTCTTGAATCACAACAATAGTTATTCTGGAGGACTTTACAAAGCTGTTAATTTGCCGAAACAGATCAGAGAATCAAACAGATCATACACAACAGCCATTGGTCCATAAGGGGCAGGTCATATATGTCAATAAATACTAATAAATGTGGAGTGTCTTAGATGGAACTAGTGGCTTCACCTGCTGATATTATTACTGTTGTTTGTTCTGGTCGTATTCTCTGCTGCTAAAGAACAAACATCTGTAAATACCTCCAGGTGCTGCTGACATTTAGCCCCAGAGTTTTATTATTTTATTATTCTTTAATAATAGATCCTGTTTGATGTGTTCATAACTTGAGTCTCATTTTCTCCTTTTCTGCTCTAATGTGCTGTTATGACACGAGGGACGAATTGTTTTATCTTTCATCTTCTGTCACCCAATAATCTAATTTCACAGTATCATGATACATCTAAAACATGCAAAAATGACATTAATTTTCTGAAAATTGTGCAAGAATTAATGAGAATTGATTATTTCTCCTATTTTCTTTCTATTTCTTCAGCGTGTATAAAAACACTTCAGGGTTAAACGATAGAGAGGGAACGGGAGAACTGTGCCATCAGGCTGGGATGATAACTGTCAAACACACATACACATAGCGAGAGAGAGAGAGACACCCACACACAAAGAGAGAGACCCCCCTCAAACACACACAGAGACACAGAGAGAGACACACACAGACACACACATAGATAAAGACGAGACATACAGGCATACACAAACACGTACAGAGACACACACACACACACACACACACACATGGCGAGAGAGACCCCCCTTCAAGCACACACAGAGAAACAGAGCGAGAGACACACACACAGGGAACCACCCTTGCAGAGCCCCATTGTATTTGGCTGGGAGCAGAGCAGGCGTCTGAGCTGCTATAATAAGACCACATGGGACCTGTGTGTGTAACCTGAGCTCAGTCAAGGACACACAACTGCAGCAGCTATACACTTACTTCAGTCTGTCTTGGTGTGATATCATCCTGCAGACACACAACTACAAGTGTGAAAACTGCTTGAGGAGGACAGGGGCCCTTTTTCCATGTCTGGGCTGTCCCTCTCCATAGTCTATCTCTCTCCATAGTCGGTGTCTCTCCATAGTCTAGGTCTCTGCCACAGACTGTAAATATTAACGGACGTAGACACGCATATCTCCGCCGTTCAAACAAATGGGCTTCTGGAGCTATCCAAAATGGCAGCGAGTGATCCCGCCCACAAGAAAATTGTGAAAAAACACATTTGTGCATGCGTCAGTCGCCGCAAGCCCCGTTCATTTAAACGAGTGACTTCAAAAATTCACAGCGACTAAACTAGACTGGTCCAAAACACCCCCCTCAGCATTGCCCCACATCTGGAACGGAGCTTTGGGCCAAGAGCCGACTTTTGGACCATCCTGTAAAGGTTTTTTTGAGAGGTAAGAAGATGCTATATAATAATAATGTTAATAATGCATCGGTTTTATATAGCGCTTTTTTGGACACTCAAAGACGCTTTACATGTCATTATTCTTTCACTCCATACACTGTGGTGATAAACTACTACTATATATTAGCATTGGCTAATTCTTATTCCGGGTCCACCCCCATCGGCCCGGGGTGGTATTGCAGCATGTCAGCGCACGACATTTTGGTCTCTGGTCTCTCCATAGTCTCTTTCTCTCCATATTTACAGTGTATGTATTGAACGGTTGCCTGGAGTGACACAGATCTATGATCAGATTGGGTCACTCTGGGTTTATGTATTAAACACATATTTAGATCCATCTTTACAAATACAATAGTGTTATTACTGTAACGACATCTCTTTTAGTTAAATCAAAGTGGCCATTCATGCATGCAAAAACCAGATCCCATCCGACCTCTGAAGCTAAGCAGGGTAGGGCCTGGTTATTACTGTGATGGGAGACCTCTGGGAACACCAGGTGCCACAGTGGGCCACATTAGAATGAGTCTGGTGTGTGTATGGTTGATGGTCACTGAAGCCAGTTGGAGTGAGAGGATTATTTGCATATTAATCAAGTGTTGTCCATCCTCAGCCCAGCCTTTCCATTGGCATTTTATTATTAATTACCAACGTTTACCAATGAAAGTGAGAAACATTGAAACATATACAGTGAAGAAGAACCAACACAACAACAGCTATGTCACGTGGGTGAAATTAAATGAGACCCAAAATGCAAAACTGCAAAAAATAATGGATTTAAAAGTTGAAACAAATCCAAAAACACCGGGAACGAGGACCGAACTAAAACAGACAAGGAATGACAATGACGGAACAGGGAGTGAAGGAACACACAGGGCTAAATATAAGACTAACGAGACACAGGTGAGACAGATGAGGGCAGGGCAGGTAATCAGACAACAGGAAGTACAACCAAAGAAGACACAGGAATAACACATTTCAAAAATAAAACAGGAAATAAACTTAAACCATGACAGTACCCTCTCCTCAAGGGACGGATCCCAGACGTCCCAAAAACAAAACCAGGGAGGGAGGAGGGGGACCGTAGGAAGGACCGGGGGGGGTGTAACCGGCACGTGAAGCCGGGGCCGGGACGTGGAGCCGAAGAGCTGGAGCAGGAACTGGAGCCAGGACTGGAGCCAAACGGGTACAGAAGGCCCCCTGGATGGAGAAAAATATCCAGCGGAACCAGGTCAGGAACGGAAGCCTGCAACCAACCAGGACGGAGCCAAGTGTCCTGCAGTGGTCCAGGACACAGACAGACAGACAGGGAATGCGTCCAGCTCCTGCAGCAACTGTCAAGACCAGTCAGGGACAAAGATGGGCCAGAGATGAAAATAAATAAATAAATAATGAAGCAGTCTGCTTGGGCCTTGAGTGGTTCCGTCATTCTGTCATGTAGGTGAAAAACAAATGAGGCCCAAAAGGCAAAAAGTGCAAAATGATGGATTTAATGAAAGTAATACAAATCAAGACCTACCAAAAACACAGGGAACGGACAGAACTAAAACAGACGAGGGATGACAATGACGGAACAGGGAGTGAAGGAACACACAGGGCTAAATACAAGACTAACGAGACACAGGTGAGACAGATGAGGGCAGGGCAGGTAATCAGACAACAGGAAGTACAACCAAAGAAGACACAGGAATAACACATTTCAAAAATAAAACAGGAAATAAACTTAAACCATGACAAGCTAAGTCAAATCAATTCATTGGACGAGAATATTATGATGGTGCGACGCACTGATGACACAGACTGGTTGCCTCGCTTCAGTCAGTGTGCCCCAGGGCAGCTCTGGCTACAATAGTAATGAATCACCACCGTGTTTATAGTGAAATAATAGTGAATGACACGTGAAGTGTCTTTGATTGTCCTGAAAAGCACAATATGAAACCAATGTCTTATTATTACTATTATTTTAATCATCATTATCATAAAGCCTTTTAATTTGACACAAGACTTACATTTCATACCTGAACGAGGACAAACAGACACAGTTTTTCCCAAAGTAACACGGCTGAGCTCTAGTATAAATAGCCCATTATCTGGCATGTGACTGTAGCACATGTCAGAGTTTAAGCCCAGTCTTTTGTGAGCGCTAAAGACCACATGGGGCTGCAGTGTGAGAGGACAAAGCCTGAAACGTGCAGCACAAAAGTCAGATGGGATTTCAGCACAGATAAAACACAGCTATATTCCTCCACTGTTCTTCTAGGACAGGGGTCGGGAACCCAAAATGTTCAAAGAGCCATAATTGGCAAAAAAACTAAAAACAACATCTGTCTGGAGCCGCAAAAAAATACCAGCCTTGTATAAGGCTGTTATGAAGTTAACACAGGCTGCAAGATGTATTAGCTATATTAGCCTAATATCTAAATGATAAAGTAAAGGCTACAAATACATAATAATGATTCATGATTACCAAATGTGTCACACCACGCGTGTCGTGAATGACGCAACACGGGACAACTCTGCTTTAGTTTAAAGCTGCACTAACTGACTTTATTTTTGTATTCATTACGAAAATGCTATCCATGTCCATGTAGTGCATTGGGATATACGTCCTTTTGACGAAAAAGTAGCGCAGGTTTGTGCTGGCGTGACATTATATTTTAGATCGAGTTTTGATGAAACAAGGAAGAGAATGTGTTTCGGGTCGCAGATTGTGACCAATCACAGCGGACCACTGGCCCCCACTTTCGTGAGAAATCTACAGGTCTCCGTTAGCATAGACAGCTGAGTTAGCACAACAAGCCGAGGAGCTAACCTGAAGCTTCCTCGTCTTCGTCACCGGTTACTGCTTACACAGCGAGACAGCCATCCAAAAGAAAGTCTCGTTCCTCCGCGCTTCCCGGTTCTATCGTTCTATGGTCACGGCATCCACGTGCAAATCCATGTCCATGTATTATCCATATTGGGAGACGCTAGCTTCGTCCCAACAGTGGGTGTGTGTGGGGGGCGATAGCTTCGTGGGTGCGGGGAGGGGAGCAGAAAGAGCGAGGCCAGCGAGTCCGCGGCTTCAAAATCCCAAAGTCAGTTAGTGCAGCTTTAACTTCCATTTTTTTGCCTTCATGCAATTGTAGAAATACAGAAAAATAAATCTGCTTTGGGCTCAGAGGTCACATACCTGCATCACTGTCTGCTCATATCCATCACGTCACAGGCTGAAGTTTGCTGGAGCTGAATTAAAATCCTTAATGGCCTTTTCTCTCACAGTCTTTGAGAAGGTTTTGAAGTCTGAAAATAGGTGCTCTGAATTTTTGATGAATGAATCCTTCACGTAATCACCGTTTACGTTGTTTTGCGCGTCATTGTTCCTCGTGTTGCAACAAAACTTTTCATTACAAACATAAAGCAGTCCTTCCTCATCGACTGAAAGAAAATGTTCATTCTCATTCTTAGTCCAGTCTTGTTATCGACTCTTTCTCGTTTTAGCTTTGGGATCCATGTGCACTTACAGTCTATGATGCACACACGCCCGTTTGTTTACAGCAGCGGCCGCATGGGGGGGGCCGCGTGACCGCGCGTCATAGGATATGACGCACTACGTTGACAGAAATTTTGAAATTAGATATTACTTATACATATTTTTACAGCATTTAAAAACGTAAAGATTGTTTTTTTTTGAATGTGGTTTCTACAGAAACCACATTCAAACTAGAAATAAAATATAGCCCTCACACTCCATTTTCAGACATTTTTGAAAAGGCTCCAGAAGCCACTCCAGGAGCACTCAAGAGCCGCGGGTTGCCGACCCCTGTTCTAGGATCATGTATAATTTATAGAGATGTTGTGTGTTCTGCTCCTCACTCAGAATTGATCAATGCTCTCATGTTTGCAGAGGAGGTTTGATAAAGAGGGAGGAGGGAAAATCAATGTGGAAGTGTTTTATGGTTTTATATCTGTGTTCTGTGCTTCCTGCTCCAAGGACGGCGCTGACAGGCTTTGATTTAGCTTCTTACTGTCGCGAAAAGACAAACACATCCAGGCGCCTTTTCGTTATTTGGATTTGTTAAGTACAGAAACTGCTCTGAATCAGGTGTCACTTTAGAATGAGCTGGAAATGGCGGCGAGTCCTAAGTCACTCTTGTTTTGTGTTTTACAATTGTTATTTTTCTTGCTTTTTTCTATCTGTAAATGTTGCTGAAATACAGTGTCCACGGTTTTACACTGATCCAGGCCAGAGCAGAGAGGATTCACGGTCAACAACCAGGCAGATCAAGCGGAAATCCACTGGAGGAATGCTACGCTGTTTGAAAAAATGCAAAGAAAGCTTTTTAGTAACTTATAGAAATATATTTTTTATTTGTTTATTTGTTTGTTTGTTTGGATGTGTTTCAGCTGCATTTCTCCTACGAGGATCAATAAAGAATCTATCTGTCTGTCTATCAAGAGGCCAAGCATTTTTTTATGTTTAGTGCAATTCATACACAATCAACAAGTGCGTTACTAAACAATAAAGGAATACAGTTTTTATCTTAAAGGCGTAATAGCTCTAATGAAATATACTCGGAA